TAATCATAAAGTAAATGTAAAGAATTAAGTCTTTAAAATGTAAGTTCTCCAAGGAGAAGATTCTACATGATATAAATCCAGGGTGTGTTTAAAGCCCATGTCTGGTCTATTTGGATTGTTTTACCAAATGCCTAACTTGAGGGCCGATGAGGCACTGGCAGAAATGACCCAAAGGTCAGTTTCTTATTCATTCAAGAAACCAGGAACCACCCCTGGAGCCCGCTGAGAACATGGCCCGATGCTAGGCACCTGGAGAAACACAAAGCTGGAAGACTATGACCCGTGCATGTGTGAGAAAACACACCCTGGTAATTCTTACTAAAGTGCTGCAGTGAGTGAAGTCTTTCCTTACAGCAGTGAGTACAATGGCGTTCACGTAGCCCCTGCAAAGTGCCTGCTATTTCTAGACTGGTGATGACTTTGTCAAGAGCCAGAGTTTTACACAGAATCCATGTTAGGTGTACACTGGCTCTCAGCCTTTTCCACAGTTTGCCTTGTAGGGTGTTCTTTTCATGGAGGAAGAAAAAGAAGTTTAAAGAAAATATAAGGGGACCTGCTGTGTCCTTAAACACCCATCTTCTCTAGTTATTTTCTTTGCTCTATGTAGGAAATATATCATACGTGTGATACGTTAAAAATAAGTTTTCAAAGCTGCCATTTCTAAATGTTTATTATATGCTTAAAATTATTATGCTTCACCTTCCTCACTCAGCAGACCATGATGTCTATCTAGCTAATTTCAAGAATTACAATCCACATACTATATGGTTAGTTTCAAACAGGGTCCTTTTGGAGCTAAAAAGTAAGCCTTTCTTGATGAACATAATCACTTTCATGTGCATAACCACTGCCAGGCACTTGCTGAAATAGAAAGATGTAAGACATGGTGACAGGCCTTCATGTGAGAACAAGGGAGTTGATAGTTTCTGCCATACTTTTTTCTAATTTAATATATATATATATATTCTTATTGATTTCAGAGAGGAAGAGAGAGGGAGAGACAAATATCAATGATAAGAGAGAATCACTGATTGGCTGCCTCCTGCATGCCCCACATTGGGGATCGAGCCCACAACCCAGGCATGTGCCCTGACTGGGAATCATACCAGTGACCTCTTGGTTCATGGGTCAATGCTCAATCACTGAGCCACACCAGCCTGGCTTTCTATTTAATCTTAACTCCTTTACTTGTCTCCTCTTAGACTAGAAACAAAGCAGTCACAAAACCACACCTTGGGCCAGCTAGTTTTCCTTCCCTATCGGATTACTCCCATCAGCACACAAGCCTATCATAGTATCTCCCTTCTTTGGAAAGAGAGAGAGAGAGAGAGAGAGAGAGAGAGAGAGAGAGAGAGAGAGAGAGAGAGAAGGACCTTCCTTGAACTTACCTTTTCCTCTAGTTAGTGCTCCATTTCACTACCCTCCTTAGAGCAAAACTCCCTACAGAACTGTCTGTACTCACATGCTTCTCTCCCATGTACTCCTGAGTGTAGTAAGGCTTTGGTCCTCACTTCCTCACCAAAGTGGCTACTCTTCCACTTTGATGTCCAGGTCATCAAACATCTCTACCTTGCAGCAGCCAATGGTCAATTCTAGTCCTCATCTCATTTGATCCATCAGTATTATTTGACTCTTTTCATTTAAGTGCTTTCTTTAATTGGCTTCCAAGACACTATTCGCCTTTAGTTTTCCTCCTACCTCACAGGCTGCTCTATAATACTCTCTCCTTTGTGGGTCCTCCTCATCCACCAGAGCTCCAAACACCACAGGGCCCAGGGCTCAATCCCTGGTCCTTCCTTCTTCACCTACACTCACTTCTTTGGGGGGGGGGGGCAGGTCTCATCATATTGCCTCCAATATGCACTGAAGAACATCTATGCACTGAACTTTCCAGTTCTTTTTTCCAGCAGTGACATCTCCCCTCAATGTCACTCTTCATACATTCAATTCCTATGACAATCCACTTGGATGACTAATGAACATCCCAAACTAAATATGCACACAATTAAACTCCTAATTCCCACAAACATGTTTTCTCCATAGTCTTCTTTACCTCAATAAATCGAAACTCCAGTTTTCTACTTGGTCAGGTTAAAAATTATGGAGTCATCTTTCACTCTTTCCTTTATGGCTCATCCCAAATCCATCTGCAAATCTTATTGGTTCTTTCTTCAAAATACATCTAGAATTCAACGACTTGTCATCATACTACATTCCCACCCTGACTGAGCCACTGTCATCTTTTGTAAGAATTACTACTGTAGCCTTTTACTAGTAATTGGTCTTCTTGTTTCCACATCAAATCCCTACAGTCTATTCTTAAATAGTAGCCAGAGTTTAAAACCACAAGACAGACATGTCACCCCTTTGCTAGAATATTCCAGTGGCCTCCCAGCTCACCGGAAACAAAAACCAAGTGCCTGCAATGGTTTACAAAGTCTGGGCCCGCCATCTCTCTCATCTACCTCCTGACACTTTTCAGGATAAGAAAAGGAGAATGGCTCTCAGCCTTTTCACAAAGAAAAACAATGAACAGTAGCAACATGGCATTCCCTACAGTCTATTTTCATGTGGCAATCTTTAGCAAAATCAGAGGAAAACATTGAACTTGGACTTGTTTTCTTAGATGGTAAAGAGAGGTGATGGTTGTCTTTAAAGAAACTGAAGAAAAATGGACCTAATGGACAAAAACTTATACTTAAATAAGACTTTAAAGAAAACATGAAACCTCTCGAAAATACTGTTTTTCAAATTACGTAGAAGTTCCCACTTAGAATAACTGATGTACAATGTACTAACCGTTAACTTACTAACCCAACCAACCAAAGGACTTCAACTCAAACGTGACAGAATTGATTAATGTAACTGGTTATCAGTCAGCCTTTGTCACTCTCACAAATAAAAACACTGATGTCCCCATCCCCACTCACAGCACTCTGCCACTAGCCTCAGCCCCATTAAGGGCCTAATTTGCCCCCAAAGAGCTCCCCACTTGTGTCAATACTGATAAAACTGAGGAACCGGTGCCCCAAGAGATGGCACCTGGGATGTCCACACACAAGTTTCTCTTTCCTCTTCCCTTCTCACCAGCTCTATAAAAATTTCATACGATGTAGAGCCCATGACACCATACATGGAAATCATAAAGCCACACTTCTTTTAAAAATAGCTGAGTCTTGGATTTTCAATTAATTTATGTTCTCGTTGTCCATCAATTCCAAAACAGAGATTTCACTGCAATTCTTCCTAGCTAATGCCCTCATGTCTGAAGCTTGACCCTCCTGATTAATTATTAGTGAGTTAGAGGGTTACTGGAAGGTTAAACCACACTTTCAGATACACATATCACCAGAAAAGTTTTGAGGAAATTCTAGGTGTTATTCACCCAATCTTTCCCTGTGAACACTGGAGCAGCCAATCTTTTCTTTCCTGGACTGTAACCTCTTTCCTTCTGAGTCTCTTCCTTTTCTGCCATAAATTCAAATGCCTACTACTGCTCCTCTCCAAATTCATTCTCCTCTACTCTAATAAATTCTTCTTATCTTTTTGTCTTATTGCCTTCCTCTGAATTTACACCTTTGTCTCAAGAATGCCAGTGCTTCTAAAAACATTCCATTATTCCTGGAGAAAGAAGGTTAGGCAATTTCCCCCTTAAAGTAGGTTTCATTGGTAATTTTCTGAATAAACTTTTTTTAAGGACTCCATCAGACTATTAGGATTCTGACCTTTCAGAATTATGTTTCCTTAAAGAACAAGCTTACTTAAAAATAATACTGGATTCATTTATTCATTCATTCATCACTCAACTAATAAGTAACAAATTTTTAAAAAGGCATCATAGCATATAAAAAGATATGAGATGTGTTCACTATCCTTAAGGACCTTATAATCCAGATAAACATATATAATCAAAGGAAGAACATATGAGCATATATTATACAGTATAAATATTCATAATAGTTATGTTTGTCCACTCTGAAGTATGACTATTAATAAAAGCCAAAGTACAATCAACAATATGTACTTCAGTGTTTCTTCAGTTCACACTTATCAGTTCCCTTAACCTATATTATGTATTCCACATTAATGGGATCCTTGATTTATAGTACAATAAATAAAGTGTAACTTGCCCAGCCTTTTTAGACTTCATTGTTCTAAATTTGGAAATCAAAGCATGGTTCTGGTTCTCATTCTCTAAGTACTTGCTTTACAAAGAAACCAGTTCTCTATAGAGAATCAAGTTATTGAAATTACCAAGTCATTCACCATTGCCCTGATTTCTTCTGCCTCGACTGTGTAAGCTTCTCACTTTTCCAGGTCAAAAGATAATGCTTATATATAAAGAACTTAAAAACAGGTCCTAGGAACACAACAGCCGAAAAAAAAAAACCTGTCTGTCTCCACAGTGTAAACGCTGGGGAGAAGGTTAAAACTGAAATTGAGCAATTGTGTATTTCAAAGTGCTCTGGTACATTAAGCAGTCATTCTTCACTTCAAAGCCATTTTATCCGAGTTATTTACATTGCTACTGCATAAACTCTGAGGTCGCTTGTATTAAAAAATGTTTTATTATGTTATTTTATTAATTTTCCCCAAAATATAAATATACCTTCAATTTTAAAATGGAAAAATTTTGGAAAACAAGTATTCAGTATATGGAAATTCACTTTACCAAAAACATCAGGACTTGGAGCCACATTTAAAGTGTCCCTGTATTTCACACTGATCCCTCAGAAAACACATTTTTTAGCTTCTGAGGAGTCTTTTATCTTATTCCTGTCACTCTGGGTATACAAAAAAAGAGAAATGTAATATTAAGAACCTAGGCAAAACAGAATCATTCCATAACAAAACCCCTTAAAGGATACTTATGTAAGACTTACACAGCGATACACTTCCCAACAGCTCTTCACTGGTGAGCCCTGGGAGAGCCAGAGACCCCGTGCTGGACACTCACCCTCTCTCCACCCAGGATCCAGTCTGTGTAACCAGACACCTACCGCTCGCTTTGGCTTCCGGGTAGGGAGGGCCATCCTCAAAAGTGAAGATCTGGGACACGCTCTGGCCCAGGTAGGAGGGAGCTGGGTAGTACGAATGCATCCTGTACTGGGAACCCACAGGGTGGCGGTTCTCTGAGGTTTTCATCGGCTTAAGAAAAAAGAAGGAATGTATTAAGACCAAAGTTGCATTTTATAGTCATTTCAAGAATTGCCTAATTCTTTAAGTGAAGGCCACACCCTATGAAGTTGGTAGTATCCTCAACCATGAATATACCATCCAGTACACTAACCTTGAAAATACTGGAACTGTGCATTCTGAGGTGCCTTTTCTATCTTGGGGTTCCCGCTGAAGTACCCCTAAAATTCCTTCTCATCCTATGATGCCCAATTAACAAGTAGTAAGAGAATTGGGCAGGAAAAACAGGAGAGCATGGCATTACTGTGACAATGACTACCTTGTTTGACCGGCAGCCAGTCATTTAACCTTCTCACATTTCTTCACGTGTAAAACTGGCATCTCATCTTAGTGAACACACACTGCATATAGAGAATATTTTTTAAAAACATGAAAATAGGGTGAAGGTAAGCTATTGTCATTAGCATGATGCTATGCTGAATATCATCACTCGGCATCCATTCCCACCCCCTTCTATGCTTTTCCCTGCAACAAGGAACAAAAGTGCGATGTTTCCCAGACTCTCCTGTCACCAGGGTTCTGGAGGCGATTTGGATTCTGCTAACAAGACACGGAGTGAGATTTGGAAGACAGAAGGGGAGGCAGAGGGAGCACGTGCTGTCCCTCCAGCAGCAGTGGGCAGCTGGCACTCGGCATTCATGCCTTCTTTCTGGCAATCAGACTTGGGACCATGGGGCAGCTTTTCTATAAGGAGCAGTTCACACAGCTTCTTGGCCTCTCATTCAAAGCAAAGGAAACAGGGCCCACTTCTACTTTCCTGGTTCTTCCTGGCCACTCTGCGAACACCTAGAATTATTCTGTTTCCTGCACACACCCCGGAACAGACACTAAACATTAAATGCATGACCCTATCTTCACAGCAAGAACATCTAGACTTCAATTATTTATACAGTTTCAAAAACACTAAATTCAGATGGTATTCATTTTTTTTTTAAAGTCAATCTAAGGAATGCTCTGGATAAACCAAATTTGTTCAACAATTAAGGAATAATTTTGAAATCATGTTTTTCAATCCAATCTCTAGAAGCCACTTATTTGATTTAGAAAAAATAGTACTAACTTGGCAAAGCCTGGCAGGATAAAATTAGGTCCTAGGTTTCCTCAAGATCTTCTATGAACATCCAAATTTTGGACAATTCCTCAAGTAATATAGGCCCAAGTAAACTTTGAATATTATGGCAGTGCTTGGTGGAAAGGCCTACGTCCTTGATTTCTGTGTGCTAATTTGAGAAGCTCAAGGAGTTCATTTTTGCCCCTCCCCACTGTTCCCCCAGCACAAATGTATGCTTGATGTGTAGATTATTTCTTGCAAAAGCAAAGAAGACTCTATTCCACTTAATTATTCCCTTTCAAGTGAAATTTATCTGGCCAAGTTCCTTGTATCCTTTCTAGTTTTTTCTGAAGCAAATAAAATGGTATCTCTTCCAGCTCAATCATCCAATTTTCATTTTCTACCATTATATCAATTTTTACTAAATAAGAGGGCATGCAGCAATGCTTGGAAATAGCCAAAGGGGAGAACTGGCTGCCTTTAGTGAGTGGGTCCAAGTCAGGAGAGCCACCAGGAATTATGAAATGATTAAAGAGGGAAGTGACTATCAGCAGTGCTGCACCCAGTTATCAGTTAGACCAGCACTTCCTGGTGCTCTCTGCATGTATATGAGAACAGCCTGGGATCCTGTTAAAAAGTAGACTCTGATTCAGTAAGCCTGGGTAGAGCCTCAGAGTCTGACTCACTCCCAGGAGAGGCTGATTCTGCTGGCTCAAAACGTCGCTCTGGCCCTGGCTGGTGTGGCTCAGTTGGTGGCGCATCGTCCTGTGCACCAAAAGATTGCCAGTTCCATTCCTGGTCAGGACACATGCCTGCGTTTCAGGCTTGATCCCCTGCAGGGAGCGGGCATGTAGAAGGCAGCAATCAATGTTTCACTCTCATATTGATGGTTCCCTCTCTCCCTCGCCCTTCTCTCTCTAAGTCAATAAAAATATTTTAAAAAGTAAAAAAAAAAATAAAACCTCGCTCTGGTGACAAGGGAGTAGAATAAACGATTCTTTCTCTCACACTAAACACCATTAGGGGCCTATGACCAAAGGAGAACTTCCTAAAAAATTCTTTTGACCAACTGTTTACAACTTTCCACCTAAACTAAGAAAAGGCAGAAATGATGCTACTTTAAATTTTCCATTCGTTTTCTTTTTATACATGAGATTCCCCAGAACTAAGATATTTTTTCAGGGGTTCACAACCACCTAGAATGGCTACAGCGGCAATAACAAGCCCAAACACACTTTGCGGGAGAGAAACGTTTCTACCTCTACAGCCTTCCCTCAAGTCAGCACAGTCTACGTGATGAACATTTATTAGGACAAGCGCCAACTATTAAGTAAAAAGTGTCCTGACATAAATAATGGCGCCCCCCCATCTGGGTGCCGAGTTGGTTACATCTTCCTCCGCTGGGGCAAAATCTGCAAGTCAGTTCTTCAAGGAAAATGTTTTTAAATTTTCCCCGGGTGCAAGAAAATTGACAGGATTTGAGCCTACAGGCTCAGCAAAATCCTGGATTTTTCCCTTTTACTATGTATTTTGTATAAAACCTCTTTTCAAAATATTTGTAAAATGTTCACTGTGAGTTGAGAGCAGGGGTCAGCGAACTTTTTTGGTAAATGGCCAAACAGTAAATAGTTCAGGTTTTGTCAGCCACAGGGTCTCTAGACAATCAGTAAATGAAGGGGTGTGGCTGTGTTACAATAAAATTTGACTTACTGGAATGTTCCCTGGTTCTCAGCCTTCACTCCCACTAGATTAAGGGAAGAGGGAACCTGGTCTGATGTCCGATTTCACTGGTCTGGGATTTGGCCTGGGCCCTGCATTATTTCAAAGCTCCTCAGATCATTCTAATTGAAAACAAGACTGAGAACCAGAGTTATCTATAAGTAGGCTTACCTACATATTTCCCACACCCCAATAAGTATGAAACCCCAGCCTCCCGAGTATCAACTAAAAACGCAAAAGGTTCACTCCACCGACAGACTGGACAACTGCTGCCAAGACCAATGTGTGTATTATTTGAAAAGAGATTCAGATAAACTGAAGGGTTTTTTTTCTTTCCTTTTTAACGAAAGCTTATTGGAAAATAAAAACAATATCAAATCCATGTGTGTTTATTTTCCCCCTTAATTCCATTTCTGTTTTTAGAAAGCATCAGATAACAAGAGTCATTTGGAAAGAAGAACTGAGCTATTTGAACTCAAACATTCAACTTTCCCAATGAATCCCCAAGATCATTGAGCTATAAAAACTTCTATCAAAAAAAAGAGGAAAAGATACAAAGGGTCAGACTCCATCTGCGGTTATCAAAATGTGAACTTACAGAGACCATCAATCACTTCAGCTGCTTACAACTGGAAGAATAATCTACAAATAACCATCCATGTGACAACTTGGACAGAAGAAAGAAGTATGGTTCCATGTATTTCTAAGTGCATGTGTAAACCTCTGAAACATGGAGTTGAAACTGAATTGTGATTCAGCCAAAAAGCCAGAACAAGGTGTGGCCAAATGTGACTTAAAACTCTAAATCACTTCTTGTTCCTAACTTAAAAAACAGTTTCAGCCCTGCTGCTTTCGAATTAGACAAAACGGGTAAATAAGGAAACCTTTGACATCTGTTGTTTCACTTTAAGCGAGAAGTACTCAACGAAGGGCAGTTTGTCCCCCAGAGGACATTTAGCAAAGTCAGGAGACACCACTGATTATCACAACTGGCTGGGAGTGAGGAGGTGCTACTGGCATGTCGTGAGTAGATACTAAAGATGCTGCCAACCATCCTATGATGCACAGGACCATCCCCACAACAAATAATTATCCAGCCCCACATCTCAGTCAGTAAGTGCCAAGATTGAAAAACTTGCTGTAAACTAACCTCACACAACCATCTCCTTGTGCTCAGCCCTTCATCTCCACTAAGAAGCAAAGTTCTACTGAGGGCTAGAGGTGCTCATAAATTAAAGGAATTGTTCATTTCTGCTAAAGAATATAATTTTTTTCCATTATGTAATGCTGCCTTGTTCTTCTCTGGATTTTTTTTATTCCTTTAAATTAAACAAAGTAAACCCCAAACCCCAGGATCCTAGTGATTTATGACTACTATTATTATTAACATGTGGTAACTGGCAAACAAGAGGCATGTTTTACATTCTTATTACCCATCCCAAGTCTCTGAACCAGAATATGACCTATGACGGGGAGCTGGGCTGGTGGGAACATGCGCAGTGTTAGTATGAACCCGGAAGGAAAACCTGGGAGCTTTGGATTTTATTTTATTAAACTGTTGGAACATGCAGCATAAGAAATCTTAACCACTGGTTTCCTTTCATATACTTTACTCACCCTTTTTTATAGTAACAATAAAACCCCAACAAAACATAAAAATGTTAGACCTCACTTCTTTTTAAAAAAACTCCTAAGTACTACTCATTGGTTATCTGTTAACACTTCAGATAGGACGAGTCTGGTCTTACACAAAACTGAGCACTCGTCCAGGTAATGGCTGAAAGAGATCATGAAAACCAACTTGCCGTCTGGTTGTTTCATAAAGCGCGGCTCAGCAGCACAGAATGAGACTTGGTGGAGAAGAGTGAATATATGGATAAAGCTCCTAATCCCAAACTCTGATATTTAAACAAATAGTGTAAAGACTCCCTTGGCACTGGCATGTGGTTTACAGTCTTTTAAGTTGCAAAAGCCACATCTGGGATGAACCTTTGGTTTTATGAACAAAAACCTTTTTATATTAAAAAAAAAAAAAAGAGGGCTTGTCACATGCTGTGGAATCCTATGTCTCCTGCTAAGAATAAAGGCTGGGGCTCACTTTTGTCCTCATTAAAGGAATTCTTTAGTTTTAATGTTTTAATAGAAGCTTCTTTTCAAACCCTCTTAAAGGGGCACCTGTTCC